TATAAAACCTATTGTAAACCGGCTGGATCGTAGTCGTCGTCACCGGGACGCATAGCCTTGTGAAGATTGCCAGATCCGTGACCACTCATGATACAGCACACAAGGCTCTCAACATTAAATACATTGCACGGGTTGGGTCGCACAGAGGGTTGATTAGATGTAAATTGCTTTGAAACACCCGCATGAACGATAACCATAAGGAGTGCCTAACAACCTATTCGGGTTATCATCCCAACAATATGTGGTACGGTGGCACGATTTGGGGTATCTTTCATGTATGGTGTTCCCCCCACTTTTTATTAGGGTCGCTGACGCTCATTGCACGCTCTTTCGTTCTCCGGCTGATTGAATGGATGACGGAGTTTGACGTCACACTCCTTCAGACGTTTAGGCGGCGGGAGGACGAGAGAGATGGCTGTTCAGTACACGGAGATAATTTTACAAATGTATTTCTAATAGGTAACAGTTTAAAACTCACTAATAATCTCTTTCAATCTCTTTTAATTTCTTTTTCATTGACGGTGTGATGTAATCGATGTCATTTTTCAACGATACGATAATAACTTATTCGCTTTTCATACAAAACCTACCCAATCCTTTCCTTTCTACAATACCTGAGCAGCTGGTTTACCATAAGTATACCTCGCAGAACTTTTTTAACCCCCATGGGTAAAGATGCTGTGTTGCTCACTCCTCTCCCCTTCCCTAGTGTATTATGGATGGTGTGAATATTCACATCGGTGACATGGCCCCTGACCCCCTTGTACATCATAAAATGAAAATGAAAATGAAACTACATGGAAAGGTCAAAAGCTGCTGAAATAGGATTACACCGATTTCAGGAGCTTGACCTTTACATTTTGTTTTAACGAAAGTCAAACTATTGTCTTTATTCGACGCACATTAATATGTTTATTGTGGTATTGTTCGATACAAGTAGTTAACCAGCGAAGATGCGCAGATTCGGGGAAATGGTACATTCGGGGAAATTATTTTCTGGGAACTGTGCCATTCGGGGAATTGTATTTCGGGGAAAAGTGGCATTCGGGGCAATAACTTTCGGGGAAAGTGTTTTCGGGGGACTGGTTTTCGGGGAAAAGTCGTACAATCATTTCAACGAATATCCCCATATAAATTTTAAATCAAAAGCGCCAGCTTTGCTTACATCCGAATGAGCTGAAATTTTCCCCATATAAATGTAGGTCAGCTAGTATTACCAACAATAAATTAGAAACTAACGATTTTAAATTGGCTCACTACTTGACTAGCCTATTGGTCCCAAGCAAATCGACTAACGTACCCCATTCTAGTATAAATTTCAGTACTACACTATGTTTGTTTTGGTTCGCTATGAAAGTTTGACAGATAAAATGAGGGGTTCGTGGATTTTCTTATGTTTCGAGGGGTGCATCGATTAGCTTGGGACCGAAGATAGTACCAGAGCTGAGCCAAAAAGTTGAGCTCGTTTCTTCGGGACCTTCTGGTCTTAGAGTTACCTCTATGGTATTACAGTAGACATAATGTTTTCTATTATCTTACCGTAATAAATGCCACAAACGAATAAAAACAGGTGCATAGTTCACTTCTTAACCCGAATGTCATCGTTGCTTTCGGAACATACCTGCGCCGATTCTTTTTACGCCGTCATCTGAGTGCTGCTCTTTGGACTTTCGCCGGGCCGATTATGTTGCATTGAACAATGCGCTTGCTGAAATTGATTGGCAATTTATCGAAGCTGCCGCTAGCGTGAATGATGCAGTTAGTTGATTTTTTCAGTGCTGCACTGGAAGATGCTATTTTCCGCATTGTCCCAGCTCGACGACCTCCGCTAAAGCCTGCATGGTCTAACCCACGCCTACGCGTGCTAAAACGTGAACGCTCTGCCGCCCTCCGAAAGTATTGTAACTCTCGCTCGCCGTACTACAAACGACTGTTCAATTTTGCGAGTCGTAGTTATCGAAATTACAATCGTTTTCTCTATAATCGACACGTGAGACGCACGGAAGCGAACCTTCGCACGAATCCGAAAAGTTTTTGGTCGTTTGTCAACTCAAAGCGGAAGGAATCCGGGTTGCCTTGTTCCATGTTTCTCGGGAATGACTCGGCTAATAGTGAAAGAGAAAAATGCGACTTGTTTGCTCGTCATTTCAAGCAAGTGTTCAACGATTTCTCCGCTTCGCCAACACAAGTGCTGGATGCTGCTGTTGGGATGCCACGTGATGTGTTTAGTTTCGTTTTTCCGCGCATTTCAGGAGACATGGTGATAGCCGCAACCTGACGGCATTCCGTCATCAGTTCTAAAACGTTGTGTAGCCAATCTCTGCCTTCCACTTGCGAGGCTATTCAACCTCTCGGCACAGCAATGTGAGTTCCCCTGCCGCTGGAAACTTTCTTATCTGTTCCCAGTGCACAAAAAAGAAGATAAACGGAATGTCATAAATTATCGTGGAATCACCTCCCTGTGTGCCTGCTCAAAACTGTTCGAGATTATCATAAATGGTGCTCTGTTCGCACGCTGCAAAAATTATATCGATACAGAACAACACGGTTTCTACCCGAAGCGCTCCGTGTCCACGAACCTGGTGCAGTTCACTTCTAACTGTCTGCGATGCATCTAAAAGCTGCATTTGACACGGTGGACCATAATATCTTGCTGGCCAAGCTGGAGATACTTGGCATCTCGTCAACTGCTGTGGATTGGTTCAGATCTTACTTGGTGAATCGCTATGTACATATCAAGATTGGCGCGTCGGAATCGGATGTTTTCTCAAACAACTCGGAAGTCCCGCTAGGCAGTAACCTAGGACCGCTACTATTTTCGATCTTTTTAAACGATGTCGCCTTGCTGATACCATCAGGATGCCGCGTTTTCTATGCAGACGATACGAAAATCTACAAAATTATTAAAAGCCTCTCGGACTGCTGGGATCTCCAGAATATGTTAGGTATTTTTGCTGACTGGTGCTCAAGAAATTTGATGAGTCTAAGCATAGAAAAATGTAACATTATTTCCTATCACCGAAAAATCGAACCAATCATGTTTGACTATGTTCTCTACAGACGCTGTCTTGCTCGTGTAGAGCACATAAAGGATCTCGGCGTTACCTTGGACTGCGGACTCACTTCCAGAAACCACTACAATGACATCATCTCCAGAGCTAATCGACAATTGGGCTTTATTTTCAAAATTGCCGACGAGTTTCGTGACCCGCTATGTCTCAGGTCACTTTACTGCTCGCTTGTGCGATCCTTATTGGAGTCAAGTTCAGTTGTTTGGTGCCCTTTCCATGCTAGCTGGATCACTAGAATTGAATCCGTTCAACGCAAGTTTGTGAGATATGCTCTTCGTTTCCTCAACTGGCGTGACCCAACGAACTTGCCACCGTACGAGGAGCGTTGCCGTCTCCTGGGAATCGAGCCATTAGAGGTGAGACGGACGGTCGCTCAAGCTATCTTCGCTGGAAAGCTGCTTACAGGTGACATTGACTGCCCAACACTGCTGTCACAGCTAAATATGTATGCCCCTGAGAGGTCTCTTCGTCAACGCGACTTTCTGTTTTTGGAACCACGGAGCCGGAATTATACACAACACGAGCCAATTCGAGCAATCAGCCGGCAATTCAACAACTTTTTTTATATGTTCGACTTCAATGTATCAGCTGACGTGTTTCGTCATCGGCTACTTGGCCTTTTCCGTACCGTTGACCGTAACTATTTAGTTTAAGTTTTATTCATTTAGACAGTAATTGTCAGTTGAATTTTTTAATAAAAACTAGAAATCCTGCCAATCTTGATCCACCTGTCGGAGGTGCTCTCAAACAACTGAGTGAAATTACTCTTCTAGATCTCCTACATGGGTATTCCCAGTTGATCCCTCTTCCCCCGCGGTGAGGCTGTCATCCATTAACGGAACGCTTCAAGTAGTAATTCACATTGCATAGGTATTAATGTTTCGTTTCTCATGCGACCTGAGTGTATTAGTATATCTTCTCCATTGAAACAATTTTTATTTTGTTTCCGTATCTGATTGAAATAGAACTTCACCGTTTCATAGTGACTTCAATGGTAATAAATACTACGACGTTTGAGTAGAGTTGTTCTTGTTGTTGCATGCTAGCAGATGGCACTCTAAGCGCTTCTCTTAAGTGTTGCACATATCACATAACGGAATTTTGCTATCATTCGATAGTTTACCTTAAAATGTTGCTTCTTTTTTTTTGTACACGGTAACCGCAAAATACGCAATAATGACTATAAAAGACTCAATATAAACTACAAAGTTGGCATTTTCAAGGGAAATTGGGACATTTATAAAAAATTGCTACTCATCAATGAACACTTATTTCTCATTTTTGTAGTTGTAATTACTCATAAATGGGTAAAATTTTGCTCATTTAATGGGTAGTCTCAGTTTCTCTCGAAAATGCTTACATTGTAGTCATTATTGAATACTTCGCGCTTACCGTGTATGCAGTTGCAAATTGAACTACAAACCGATTTAGTACGACGGTGTTACATTGCGGCTATTTATTTACAAGCAGACAATTTTTCTTCAAGCTACCTCAGTGTATACGACGTGTGTTCAATTTTGTTTTCTGAATCGAAACAGTGCATCAAGACTGGTGATTGACATCGATATTAGAATATTTTCTAGGATGTTTCTCTCTGAGGGGAATGTGGTTTAGGGATAGAGAATCCGTATTGCGGAATTACATTTACATTAACACTAAACGGCGAATCACGAGGCGTGCAAACTATCCTGCTAAAAGCTACAATTGCATTCGTTAGTGTGAAATCTACTCACACCGTGGCTGCCTGACTGACTGACGACAAATCCTATGATAAAGGCATATGTTTCTTACTATGAAAATGTTTACTAAAATCAAAATATGTTATCCCTTTCTGTTTTCGTGTTTGTGTATTTGTTTTAAGGCACATTTAGGTATCTCATTTTCTATCGTGTCTGGTTGTATAAAGTAATCCAAATCAGAAGTCGTTCATTTTTCTTTTAATAGAATAATCAACGCACTGGTTGTCTGCATAAAATTTGAGCTATCAAAAATGATTCTTCTATGGATGCAAAATAGCTGAATCCATTTGTTTTCCTTGTCCCATTTTAAACTTTCCCAGAACAACAACAACAACTAAAAAGACAAACTAATTCTTCAAGATGTCTAAAAAATTAAAACCATTTCCCTAGATCTGTTTCGGTTCCGTTTTGGTGGTTCTGTTTGTTTGCTAGTTTTGCTGATTGTATCGTTGTCTCTCTTTGGCGACTGATTCGTTGAGCTACTATAGTTGGGAGCTCTTGTTGCTGGTCAGAATGCTGTACGCGCAACCCAGCGCCCAGGAGATTTCGTGTCCGTCGATTTTCTTGTATAACTGAAACGGGGAACAACATTTGTTAGGCAATCATCTACTAGAAAACACCCCAGCACTACCTTTAGTGGTGTCTTCGGTTTGAGACCGTATCCTTCTTCCAGCAGGACGGCGAGGAATGTGAGATCTACGCACATGAAGGGTTGATCGGTGTTGGCGTCCGCGCATACCTCCCGAGAGCGGGTAATAAAGTCGCCAACCGTGGTCTCACCGCCCTGGAAAGGATCTGCGGGAGAAAAAAAAATTGCAATTAATGTACCTGTAGGAATATTTTATTTGCACGATCAAAAATACGAGCCGCGTAAAAACAGAATTGAGTTTAATAGCAGAACTGGGCGTGGCGATGCGATATGATAGTAGTGACATTAGTAACTAAAATTACGGAAATAGTGACCAAATAAAGACTATCGAATAATAATTAAGTTACCAACAATGACATTAAAGGGTGAATCAGAAACTTCCAAGATGGTATCATATTGGAATAAACAATACTTTTTGTCAAAGAAACTTAAATTCATATTTCATAAATTCTTATGACGAGGCGCCGTAGCTTAGTGATTACCGTTTCTGCTTATTGAGCAGAAGGTCCGGGAGTTCAATCCCAGACCCGTCCCTTTCCTCGTATTTGTCACCATGCCTAATTATCTATCCCCATTACAGGGCTGGTAGCGACCACTGCTGTCAAAAATAATGATTTTAGTGACCATGTTGAAGAAATAAGTGACCAAATAGTGACTTACAGTTGTAAAAATAGTTACAAAAAGTGACCTAAGAGAAAATAAATGTTTGATGTTTTAGACTTATTCAACAAGTATCTCATAAACACTTATGTACGATATGAACCTTTAAAACGCAAGATTCATTAGAAAGTTTATGGCCAAACCCACGGTATTATTCAGGGTGTCAACTAAATAACTTCAAAAACCTGGAAAACCGGGAATCCGCAGGAAATTTATTGTTTCTTTAAAATATCTGGAAGGCTCAGATAATTTAATAATTTTCTTACAAAGGATATTTAAAGAAAATAATGAATTTTTAAATACAAGCATTTAATGTTTATCATTATTTACATTCACACTTTGAACTTTATAGATCCACAGTGAACTAATATTCAGTAACAAATAAATTAAAAAAAAACAAAGTCTTGAATTGTTTTTTTTTTTTGAGCATGCTTATTTTCTAGAAATTTTAAATGTGAACTAGTTCTGGACTTAAAAGCTATAATACTTATATAAATTTTCAAGAATCTGGAGTCAAAATCCATGCACAGTTTTAAAAGCTCGTTAAATTTTATTATAATTACTAAGGACCTTATTTCAAGGAAGTTTTGGGAAAAAAAAAACTTTCAGAAAAAAATTCAAATGAAGGAATTTTAGATTTATTGTGAAGCCAGAAAATGTGGAGTAGAATTTCTAGAAACCCTGAATTAATTTCTAGTTTTTGCTAATTTTAATGAAAACTCTGAAAATTTCTGACGGGCACAACTCCTTCAGAACAAAATTTCAGGGGCCTTCTGAGGATTATTTTATAAAGTTGTGGGAGAAAACGAATCCAGAGCATAAGTCCTTGGAATCTTTTTGAAAATACTAAAAGGAGGATTACAATTAAATCTGAGAATAACTCCAAAACATTTTCAAAGGAATTCGGAAAATAAATTCAGGAGGGTTTGCCATACAAATTATGAGAATAAATCTAAGGAATTTGTGAGGAGAAATGCCACTGAATTCTTAGGAGACTTTCAATGTGAGCAGAATTCCAAGGAGTGAGATTCAAAAAGAGAATTTCAAGATAATTCCGAGGAAAACTAAAAGAAAATTGAATTAGGAGGATAGCTTTATTGAAATGTTGAGGAATATTTCAATGGAAATCAGAATGGACTATTCTGAGGTCTTCAGAACTACTTGAAAGTTCCCAATTTTTTCCTGAATTTAATGAAACTGCCTTGAAGTGCTTTTGTAGTTTGAGAAACTAGCCGGACACTTACAATACTTCTCATCAAATTCTTAAACTTCCCTGAACTTTATAGGACTTCCTAAAATTTCCTCAATGTTTCTAACGTTGCCTTGAAGTTTCGACAATTTCCTCTAAGTATTATAAGCATTATAAACGCTCACTTATTTTCCCTGAACTTATCTATGGTTACCTGAAGTTCTCTAAATTTGTTTAATAATCCGGCAAATTTTCTGATACATTTTCATAATTCCCTGACGCTTCTGACGTTTTCGGATCAATCATAGAATTTATGGAATACCCCATAAATCCACGGCACTCCTTGTAAGTCGCTGCAAATTTGCTTAAGTTAATGGGATTATTCTGAAGCTATCTGATCGTCCTTGAAGTACTCGGAACTTCGCTGAATATCATGAAACTATCTAAATTTATAAGAAGTTCTTTGGAATTTCTTGAAGATATCACTGCTTGCTTAAAGTTCTCGCATTTTTTTAATTAATGAAACTTCGTTGATTTCCTCTAATACATTTAACTAAATTTTCGCATTTTTTAAGTACTAGAAATCTCCATAGTATAACACGCTTAAAATACTCTCACGTTTTCCAGATGTTCATATAATTTTTATCACGTTCAAGAAATTCTTTCGGAGCTTTACTGAAGTTTCCGGAAATTCTCTGAGTTTTTCGCAACTTCGCCATAAGGTTTCTACAATGAGGGGGAGAGGTAGCTCATCGATTCTTCCGGTTCGCCTCCTAGCATCGTGCTATAAGGTACCAGGCGATAACCAGGGTAGTTGATCGATAGCTCGATGACGTCATTTCGTTGACGTAAGCAATGGGAAATTCTCATAGCAGGCGTTGACGATGGGACGTTGTCGAGTTGTTGAATAGCAACTATCGTGGTAACTCACCGATTACCTGTCGATCTGCCAAATTTGGAAAGACGTCTGCATTGAATTGTCTCATATAATAATATTCCGCCCACTATATCACAAGAAATTGCGAGTAGCTGAGTGGAATGGAGATAAGTTAAGCATTGGGTACAGGACCAAGTCTCCCCTGGGTGGTGCCAGAAGATGAGCGCAATAGAATCATCAAGTTGCCATAAGGCACGGAATGAGACTATTGCATGGCTGGGTAGTCAAAGTCTTCCATTCGTTAGTCATTTCAGGTGGATTAGAACAGGTTTAGGTGGGCGTTGGCCAGATTTGGATTTTTCAGATGTAATCCTGGATAGGACCCTGTCATTGAACGTCGCGTGAAAGTGGAACTTAATGAAGGCCTAAGTACTTTTTCGTAGTTTTTAGTTTTCGGATTTGAAAGATCGTCGGTTACAGTGGCCTGATTACTGAGCAGAAAAACTCGGTCCCAGGTCCTTACATATCAAAGAGATTTATGATAAAATCGCTTGTGTATCGTGTATTTTGGGAAACTCGTTGTTGTCGTTGGTTCCGGGTTTGAATGGATACACAAATTTGAGCAACGGTATTATGTGATATGAGGGGCTCGGTGGCCTTAGAGCAACCGTTTTTGCTTACTGAGCAGAACATCATAAGTCTAATCTCAGACCCATCCACATTCAAGATTCGTCAATCGTTTTATTTGTTAATATGACTACATGGTAATAACAGCAACTCGGTGATTAAAAAGGTGCTCGTCTGCCTAGTGGCAAACGTTTTTGCTTACTGAGCAGAAGACCGTGGGTTTAGTCCCAAGCTCCTTTGCGTTATATGATCGTTAGGACATCAATTCAGCTTATCGTTTACCAAAACGAACCCTGCTGCAAACCCAACCCTCTTATCCAACATCCCAGTGATTCCTCGTGGAAGTGCAGAGGTGTTCTCGGCTTCCATCAAAGCGAGTGTCATGTCAACACAATCCTTCCCATTCCTTTCTTGACCTGTGTTCGGGCGCGGCCAGCGCTGGTATTGCCTAATTTAAGATCACCAGCTTTTACACATTGAGGATGATTGCTAGTCCCAAGCATCGTCTATTGGTTCTCTGTGTAATTACAGCTGATCGGGCAGTAACAGAGTAGCAACCGTGGGCGGTCAATCAAGCTCAAGCTCAAGCAAGCTTCTCTAAGGTTTCTACAATGAAATTATTTGAACTGCCATTTGATTCACTAATCTGTCTTGATGTTCTCGATGCTTCCCTAAAGATCTCAATGCTATTTAAGATCTCGGTTCTGCTCGGAAATAAATGGGATTCCCGTAAACATCTTTAAATTTCCCTGAAATTCTCTGAACTCCTGTGAAGTATCTGGAAAATTTCTGAAGTTTTCATAAATTCTCTGAAATTCTCGGAACATCTTGAGGGCTCCGATTTTTTTTTTCAGCACATCATGGAACTATCCTGATTTCCACTTTTTTATTCCTACTCCAAAAGTCTGGACTAAAGCTTCGGAAACTGCTCTTAAGATCTGAAATTCCCCAAAAATCTCTAGCTTTTCTGAGGTACTTAGAACTTCGTAAAAAATTGCACAATACCCCTCATGTTTTCTATATTTCTCAAGTTCGCTTGACACCTGTGAAGTTCTCTGAAATTCTACGAACTGCATAAAAGTTCCCGAAATTTTTCGGATGCTTAAAGAACTGCTTTGAGGTTCTTGAAGCTTCCAGTAAGTTCTCCATATTTTCAGCGCATTAACTTCTCTCATGTTCCTGCAGTTTGTTTATGGACCTTTACTGAAATTCTCAGCATTTCTTTTTATTACTTAGAATTTCTCCAAAGATCCTACACTTACGAACTTTGAAAAAATCATTTTTTTTCTTGATTCTGGAGCTTTCAAAATTTTTAATATCTTGAACATGAAATACAAAACTCCAAGATATTGAAAATTTTTAGATCTTTGACTTACTCAAATAAAGTAAGTTTTTTTTAAAGTAAGTGTTAAACTTCAACATTCAATGGATTTGATTGTAAAGCTGTTTCTTTAACACTGATTGCCATGTCTTAAAACAGTTAATGTAAATTGCTGTTGTTCTTGATCTACAAAAAAAACATATTTTTAACACATTTAAAGAATAGATTTCTTATTATAAACCTGGATTTTATCCGGTAAAGTACTGAAAAAACCTGAAAAACCCACCCTGGAGTAGACACCCTGTAGATATAGAAAGACGATTAAACGCCACAAAGCAAAGAATGATCAATCTTGAAATATATTCACGCTAAAAAAGTTGAAAATAGTGACTTATTACAAGAAAAAGTGACTTTAGTGACTTGGCCTTAAAAAGAGAGACTTTTTAGTGACTGGCTTGAAAAAAGTGACCAA